GAGGGGTGAGTGGTGCAGGAGAGAGGGGTCAGAGGGGTGAGTGGTGCAGGAGAGAGGGCAGGGAGGGGTGTTTGGTGCAGGAGAGGGAGCACCGCAGAGGCGGGTGTGTGGGAGGAGCCTCACCTTGCCTGGAGTGGGGGGCGGCGGGCGCAGGGCGATCATGTTGGGCCCGGCCAGGGTGAGGTGCTGCTGGGCCAGGCTGCGTGTGATCAGCGTGTGCAGCACGCTGGACTCGTTCACACACTGCAGTGTGCTCAGGTCCTCCGCCAGGGCCTGCTCGGGGGGGTTGGCCTGCAGGGACACAGCAGGTCTGAGAGACTGGCAGTAACATAGCAAGAGCAAGGCCTAGTAGCGCAGGTTCTGTCCCGACTCACCTTCTCGATCTCGTCCTCCTGGACATCCAGCACCGACCCATCTGTCTCCAGACGGACCCTCACTCTCCCCTCGGGCAGCTCTGGGGTCCCCACATCCGGCTTCAGCTGTGTCGCTGCACAAAGATATGGTCAACACAACCCTGCGCCAACGCACAGTGCCCTGAGCTCTGAGCCACTGTACAACAGCAGGACTTGCACACGTGCCGCCAGACTCACCTGGAGTGAAGCCGTCTCTGTGCACATGCCACACCTGGCAGGCCTCGTACCACACATCCCTCTGCGGAGAGACAGAGCGAGGGTGAGTGTGGCACGGCTGCGCCAATCGGCTGGCTGTGTGTGTCTCCTTCTCTCACCTGCTCCGTGGTGCTGCTCTCGGCTGTCTGCCCCTCAGGCTCCTGTCTCTCGCTCTCTGCTCCTTTCTGCACCTCCTCTCCCTCCTTCTCCTTCAGCTCCTTGTCTGCCTGTCTGTCCTCCTTCGCTTCCACGGCGATGGCCTCTTCCTGTTTACCATGGGCAGTGTCCTGCTCCTCTGATTGGTTCTTCTGGGGCTGGGCAGACCAAGGCTCCGCCCCTTGTCCTCCCGGCTTTGGTGACTTCATCCTCCTGGCTGATTTCTTGGTGCCTGTGGCAGCCTGGTGCTGCCCATCATCGTCACAGTGGACACCATTGACCAGCAGGGGTGACCAGCTGCTCATCTCTCGCTCTGGGGGGGGGATCTCTTCTGGAGGGGGCAGGAAGGGAAGGACTAGGTTTTCGCTGAGCTTGCTGGGCTGGACCAAACCAGAACAGATCCAGTATTACCGGCTCGTGTAGAACATATGTGCGACCTTGCATAGATGGGTTGGTGTGTTTCATTATGTCATTATATATATATAAACTGTATATATAGATTATATAACATATATAATGTACAATTCAGATTATAATATACACAGTACGTATTATAATGTTCATGAAATCTATATAATTAAAGCTTAAAGCTCAATAATTAAATTAATTGTAATTAAAACAGCAGCTGTGAGACGCACTGTGAAGGAGCTCTGTGCTCTGTGATTTGTCCAATCAGTAACAATAATTAATGTTAATTATTTCATTAAGTTCAATAGCTAACAGCTGATGCAATAAGAAGGGAGAGCCTGGAGCCCCAGCAGCTGTGGGTCTCCCCTCACGCCCCCTGCTGGCCGTCTCCTCTCACCGCCTTCTCCTCCCGTGACGCACAAGCCAGGGGCTCCGGCTCCTTCCTCTTGGCCTCCTGCTCCGTCTCGCGGACGAGCTGCCGGATGAATCCGCCCGGAGCAGCGGAGAGCGGTGGGGGTGGCTCAGCAGGCACTGGTCTCCTCTTCTCCTCCTGAATCTGAATCCAACAGAGACACGGGCCAGTCAGACAGACTCGCAGAGACACTGACTGAGACACAGACCGAGACACTGAGACACTGACTGAGACACTGAGCCACAGACTGAGACACTGAGACACTGACTGAGACAGAGAGACACTGAGCCACAGACTGAGACACTGACTGAGACACTGAGCCACAGACCAAGACACTGAGACACTGACTGAGACAGAGAGACACCGGGACACAGACAGACACTGACTGAGATGCCGAGAGAAACTAAGACACCGTCTGGGACATTGACTCAGAGAGAGAGACACTAATTAATTGAGACAGACATGCAAGGAAGCCAGACTGGATTTAACATTCGAACATGGTTGAGAGATGAACAGCTGCACAGATCTCCAGGTCCAGCACTGACAGACAAGCTCGGCATGACTCTCAGCATCAGGCACATGCGGGTCTGCTGGAGGTGTGTCTGTCCCTGGCTCCCTGGCACCCTGGCACTGCCCTCTCAAGAGGACCTAGGTGTCTGTGTGTTGCTGTCCACACTTCGTGAGCCCATGGAGATGAGGTGTGGGGCCCAGAGTGATGGAGGAGCTGGCTGGGCAACAGCTGTGTGATGAGGGATGGCGAAGGTGATCAGAGACAGATGGAGACACAGTGGACAGTGAGGCTGGGGGCCAGCTGGACTCTGGCAGGGCCTGTGTTCATGAGCTTCACCACCTGCTGCTTCTCTTACACTGAATTCACACACAGGTGAACAGAGAACTATACTGACGGATGTATCCTCACTCTTTTACGTATTTAACAGGTCAGTTCACATGAGGGCCAGTCACTGATGGAGTGGAGCCGAATGCTGTGACAGTGGACTGCCCAACAGGGATGTGGATCTGCGTGCTGACTGGCCCAGGCGACGGTGTGGAGGGGACGGAGCTGGACACAGAGCACACCCCAGCATGCACCCCTTTCAGGGGACAGCTCACTCCTCGGTGTCTCTCAGAGGCTGCAGGCTGAAACACTGTCCATGCTGAGGTCTCACACTCTCCCATTCTTACACACTCACGACTCTCACAACCTCTCACACTTGCTCAATTTGACACACTCTCACTCTCTGTCTACGCTGAGCTCTCACACTGCTGCACAACACTGCACCCATCTACACAGCCCTGCACACAGCTACACAACCATGCACAGCACTACACCTCCCTTCTGCTCCCAGAGGGCCAAGCGAGATGACAGCTCCATGGCTGTCTGAGCAGTTGCAAGGGTCAGAGGTCAGCCAGGGGTGAGGGGTCTTGCCACGCGACAGTGTTGAGAACCAGGGGGCTGTGGGGGTCTGGAATGAGGGAGTGACAGGGAGAGAGACGGGTATAGATACTGAGAGAAGGAGTGTGCTTTTACTTGAGGGCCTCTTCCTTGGTGTCTGCAGAACAAAGCTCTGAAATGACCAATCTACTAATCTAGTACTAATGGATTCTCAGCAGTCCCTGAACTGGGCTGATGGGGGCGCTGCAGAAGAAGCTCCAGCATGAGCAGTGGGTTCCAGGCCTGGCTGTGACACAGGTACCCAGGAGTCTGAGAGGCGTCCCTGCATAGTGAGCGCTGATGAGGAATGAGAATGATGATGAACATTAAAAAAACACAGACACAAACACCAGCGATCTGCACTGCGGAGAGAAACAACATCATACTGCTGCGAACCACAGGTGTACTGAGCCACCACTTCTCCTATATAGAACCAAACATTCCACCAATCTGTATCAGTACTGTAGTGCAGTATTCTAGTACAGCACAGTGTAGTACAGCCACACAGAGATCACAGCACAGCCTCACAGTACTGTAGTGCAGTATTCTAGTACAGCACAGTGTAGTACAGTCACACGCATCAGTAATCACCACTCTGCCTCACCAAAATCTAGTGCTACAATGCAGTATAATTGAAGAACACTGAAGTACAGGGTCAGTGCACTGCTCTGTGCTACTACAGCACTGTACCGGGGTATTGTTGTGGTTCAGTACATTGTAATGTACAGTACATGTTTACACACTAGACATCACTCTGCTGCCTCAGTGCCCTGAAACCTTTCAGCAGCCACTGTTCGATTCACAATCACTGGTATAACTCACAGTTTGAAAAGCTGCATATTGGACTGTGTGTTTAGTATCACTTAATTATTCTTATAAATAATTATTTGTTTTAACTGGACTGTGTTTAATAATTACAATGCCTTCTACTGCTTCTTTCGCAGTGCCACAGCTGGGTCTTGGCCCTGTACAATACAGCTACAGAACTTGCTTCTATTTCTTCTGCAGGAATAACAGGACTGTCCCGTTACAGACTGGCTACTCATCCCGAATTCTCAAATATCAAGAAAACTGACCTGAGACACAGCTGATGGTTTGGAGTGTTAAAAAATTATCACTTAGTCAATAAAGCAATATAATGAACTCCAGTTTCCTTCAAAGTAGAAATCAGTTCTCAAAAATAAGAAATGATGACTGGAGAAACACTTAGCAAGAGTCTAAAAATAACCAGACAGAAGGCCACACAGGCTCCCCGGCCTCAGAAATGGCCAGAGAGCCACCAGGAACAGCCCCGAATCCGGCTCTCAGCCTGGCTGGGAAGACTCACACCGAAACACCTTACCTGCTCAGAACCGACAGCACCGAGGGACAGTAAGCGAGGAATCCCTGTCTTCTTCTCTGTCCTTCACAGAGTTTGTCCTGACAGCTCCCAGGGCTGAAGGAGGACAGGCAGACACACTCTCACACGCTCAGAGCTGGTATCTCTGGCAGCTGAGTTAACACAAGGCTGATCTATTAATACCGGTGGGCTCAGCCCTGGACAGGACAGCCCAGTTTGGAAACAGGACAGCAACTGAGTGTCCGCTGGGGAGAGGCGAGTGGGGGAGAGGGAGGGAGAGATAAGGAGAGGCAGAGAGGGAGAGAGGGGACTGAACTGCACACCAGTAAGCAGAGAGAGGGGGAAGACAGAGAGACAGGTGTGTGATTTCTATCTGCTTGGGCAACACTGTAATTCAGCAGTCAGGCCAATAATGCTCTTTGTATCTGAATCCCAATCTGAACTTGGCACAGGTAGGAGGGCACAGGAAGAGAGCACTGGATGGTAGAGGCAGAGGAGGGGGGACTCAGGGGGAGAGGGGGCGCAGTGCTGTGCTTTGGAGTGTGATGCTCTCTCCTCTCAGCAGCAGGGCTGCACATCAAACACTTGAGGTCTCTGAAGTCTGATTCACCCTAAACATGCAGCGTGAGGCACCAGTCACTTCAGGAAGAGTGTGGCTCAGCAGCCTGAGCTCTGCAGGAGAGGGGCCTGTCTGGATCAGCCGGGCAGGGGGCCTTGATCAAGGATAAGGTTCTATAAATCACACAACCTCAATGGGTAAAGACTATGGTGTCTGACCTGGAGTGAGGCAGGTCGAGCAGACTGGACTAGGCTGCCCTACCAAGACTCAGCTTGAGACTGTGCAGAGACACCTGGCTATAAATACCCTCTACGCACAGACACCAGCCCTCCAATCAGAGAGCACCAACGGCACTCCTCACGTTCCGACCCTAGCAACAGTCTCCAGGCCTGGCTGTCAGCTGCCAGAGCTGAGACTGACAGGCCCAGCTGGGAGAGGGGCGGGACTTCCAGGGGAAGTCAACAGATAAACAACAGACCCTGACTGGGTAGCACAAGCTCAGTGACCACAGCCTGGACATAGAAACTGGACACAGGCAGGCCTGGCTGCACACTGTATTATTATTGAGAGGCGGATGTGTTGGGGTGCAGTACTGTGATGCTGTGTTGCAGGAGGTGTTGGGCTCAGCAGCTTCATGCTGTGGTCTTCACAGACCTGAGGGACAGAGGGCCTCACAGACTCGGCTCTCTTCAGCGTGGGGAAGAACTGCACAGCCTTCATCCTCGAGAGAGGAGTTCTGGGCCTCTCCCCTCTCTGGGGACACCTGCTCTGGGATTTTTGGGGGGACTGCAGGTTTTGGGGTATTTTTCCGAGTGCGGTCTTGTGGCTGTTTTCCTACACCTTGTGGATAGTAAAGACTCTCTCTCATCTGGTGTGCGTCTCCTGTATTTGCCCCTTATTTTCAGGGCAGTTCTGTTTCTGAGCTGGGAGCTCAAAAGCTCCTCAGCAAATTTCTAAACCAGCCTTGGGCTCGTCATCTGCAGCACAGGTGCGAGTTGAACTGCAGGAGATTCACACTGGGGTACAACACACACTGTCGTGAGACAAGGGAATGTGCTCCTATAGTGCTCTAGTCGCCCTGAACTGCAGCCTCTACTTCTGTCACAGTCTATAAACGCCAGCTGCGCCCTACTGCTCCTCTTTAGATCCCAGTTCTTTCATTTGTGAAAAGTAGGATTCTGGCCGGCCTGGTGTATTTTAGACGTACATCACAAGGGGGCGCTCTTCTTCCAACTCAGATCTGATGAACCCGGAATCGAGTTAACGGTGTGAAGCAACAACATTAAGCTGTTTTAATGTTATCTACAAACACCAGCAACATTTGAAAATATGCCAATCTGATCAATCCAAGATTATTTTCTGTTAGCTGTAGGTCTATACAACTGTTTTCAGCCACTACTGCAGATGCACTAGTTTTTGTTTGCTCCGGAACGAGACAGGGTTTTTTTCAGGGGGCCCTAATTGGCCAGAGTATTTTTTTAAACGGACCTGTGGGCCGCTATTGGTCCATAAAAACGTTGACTAATCGGTGACCCAATGATTGGCTAAATGGCCGCAGGCTTCGCGGGTTCGCAGTTCAAATCTATATCGGCGGATGCATCGGGTGATCTCTGCTGCGAGTTTACGGTAGCTAACCTCAAAATGTGCGATAGAAAGTATGACAGTGGGGCGCAAAGACGAAAAGCACGGCAGTTAAAAGAGCAGTGTGAGCAGGATCGACTTAAAGAGATCCCTAGATTGACTGGTTATTTCACGTTTTCTGAGCCGACCCCGATCTTGAGCTCTGGCCTGGGCGCGGTCACCGCCACGCCGCTCATGGGGACGATCAGCTCCCGTGACGGGGTCAGAGGCAGAGCCGTCCGCCGTGCTGGTGCACCTGCAGCTCCCGCTTCCATCAGCTCGGACCCAGCCTGCTGGGGTGAAATAATGATAATGTTTCTTTATTAGCCCTATACAATTTCTTGCAGTAGGAATTCGTCTTTTCGCATACCCCAGCTTTTCTCCAGGGAGACACAGACACACAGACACACAGACAGGGAGAGAAGCTGGGGGTCAGAGCGCAGGGTCTGCCATTGTACGGCGCCCCTGGAGCAGCTGGGGTGAAGGGCCTTGCTCAAGGGCCCAACGGAGTAGGATTCCTCTGCCAGCCGCGGGATTTGAACCGGCAACCTTCCGGTCACAGGCGCAGATCCTTAGCCACAGAGCCACCAGAGGCGGCCATACTGGGCTAAATTGGGCCCGAAACCGTGAGGAAACCAAGACGCGGATGTTGCAGCATCGGAAAGACAACATAAACACCAAAAGAGGTATTTCTCTAAAACCCTCTATGAAGAGAGACAACTCGGAAATGGCGAGTGTGTGTCAAGAGGGTGGCTGCTGTCTTCCCCCTCGAAGGGTGCGGTGTTTTGTTTCGCATGTGAGTTATTCGGGGGCGGTGATGACCAGTCCGGACTGGCCGCAGGCTCTAGGGACCGGGTCAACGCCGCCGCACGCCTGGCTGGACACGGGGTGCCGGAGAGCCGTGGAAAGGCTGTGGTCGTGTAACGTTATGCGCTGCGCTGATAGTGGCCTAATCGATTCAGAACTAACAAGACAGTTTGACAGCGAGTCTGAGTACTGGAATAATGTCTTGAAAAGGGTGGTTGCAGGGGTGAAGTTTTTAGCAGGGCGAGGGCTGCCATTTAGGGGCGCAGCGGCTCGTTCGTGCGTCCCGACAACGGGAACTTCACGGGTGTCCTGGAAGTTAGCAGCGAGTTTGATCCCTTCTTGAAAGCCCATATAGAAAAGTGTCTAATCGTCGATGCAGTCCACAGACTCAAATCAGTCCACACGCTGCAGTGGGCTTGCACGAGTGGGGAGTGTCCCGCTGCTCTTGGAGTAAGGCGCTCAGGCAGGGAGCTCACTGGCCTCTGCTGCGCTGATCTTGTGTCGTCGGTTTCAGAGCAAGTGTGTGCACGATTTCTGTTGTCAGCTCGCAGATGGGCTGTGAATCTGATTTATTGGTTGTATTGCTGTACTTGCGTTACAGGCTATTGTAGTGTGTGTGTGTGTTTGGGCTCCCTGTGTACGTGTGTGTTCCCTGCGTTACATTCCGTTTGAATCGGCGGTAGCAGGTCTTACCCCGAATATGTCCCTGAATTATCACAGTATTTTCTCTCGCTTTTTTCTGGTAATGGGATTGGGGGGCACACAACGTGTAGCCTAGGGGCCTCTGATCACCTTAATCCGCCACTGGCTGTACGCGTTTTTTCTTATTCGATAAATATACATTTTAGATGCTTTTGAGCAACGGAAAAAATTCCGAGCCCCGAGAAGAATGGTTGAATGAAACGCATGCGTACTTCAGAGCCGCACAGTTTTCCGAGGGGTACTAAATGGGATGCAACACCAGGATCAGGTTTCGTCCGTCCTCCTCGACACTTGCTGAGCCGCTGGGAGAGACACTGACGTGGCAGAGATCCCGGACGCATCCTGCAGCTCGTCTGTGTGCGTCATCGAGGCACCCCGACTGGGACTCGGGGTTCAGCAGACGGTCCTCCCGCTAATCCGTGCCTGTGTCCGGCGAGCTCGTCTCCCGGCCCTGTCCGCACAGCCTCCGGGCGAAGATGTGGGTGCTGCTCTTTGTCGGGCTCGTCCAGTGCCTTTCGGCTTACGACGTGGATCTGAAGAAATTGGAGGGGCTTGCAAAGGCAAAGGTGGAGGTAAGACGACTTCGCCGTAGTTAAGGGAAGTAAGTACCTGAAACTGCAGCGCTTGTCTGGGCTTTTTGAGACGTGTACGACGTGCCAGTGGCTGGCGGGCTCATTGCGAATAAAACACCTTTTGCGCTGCGTCTCATAAGAAACACGATAACCGCTCACTTTCTTTACCTTGCATCCGTGGTACACCTGAGGGCCAAACCACAAGGGACCGCGTACTCGCCAGACCGCTCCCTTCTCGGCGATGACGGAAATAATCATCGTACCAGACTTAAAAGCATTCACGACATTCAACTTTATGGAATGCTAATTTTGATTGCTGGATTTTTACAATCTTGATGTCTGTCTCATAGTTGTTGTTTAGCCGTAATTTACCGTAAGGGTGTCGTTGTTCATGCAGTTGAGAGATTTTATCTTTTGTGCGTTGTAAAGCAAAACGTTTAGATCAAGTCCGCTGAAAGATAATTGACCGAACTAAATTGTGCGACTATAGTCTTAAAAGGGAGATTTAAAGGAGTCTTACTTAAGATTGTGACTTTACAGTAAGGTTATTTGCAAGACAGTTTAACTCCAGCGCTTGCAGCTATAAAACTTTCACTGCAAGTCTGTGTGGTTTTAGGAGAATGGGGCACAAAGACGGGCACATTTACATCTACATCTAAACACACTGTATACCCGCTGTCTGCGGGGGTGTGACGTGGCAGAAAAGGCCAGATAATCAAGTATAGACTTTACATATTCATCGGGTCTCTCCCAGTAGCATTGTAAACACATGCGTGACCAGTAATGGCAGGTTTCATGAGCTGCACCTTAAAGTGTTGTGGTTTAACATCTGAGCTTTCACATTAGAAATGGTGTCTGATAATTCAACTTGTTTGAACATATAACTTCATTTACAATAAAAAATAAAAAACATGCATTGTTCAAACCGTTCTTCTGTTTGTCAGGTTCAGACACCAGGAAAGGATGAGTGAAACCAGAGCACAGTGTGATGAGAAACATGACTTGCATTCAGATGTGATGTCAGCAGCTAGCAGCAACGTTCCCTTTGACAGCTATAGCACAGTCTGGTAGAGAAAACGGAACTAATTGCAGAATCCCCATCACCCTTTCTCACCAGTCTCCTTTCATTACAGACCTGTGGGGGATGACAGCTGAACAGGCTCAGGGAGGTACGTGGCTGTGAACACCGTCGAGATCGTTCCACCCCAGTCTGTGCAATGTTGAGAATGAGTTATGCTGCCAATTGCCAATAACTTGCTAACCTTTTGAAGACTATTTCATTAAGGCATAACAAGATGCATTAAGGAACTCTGGAAATTAAGTATTTGCTTTTTTCTTCCGTGCAGGTGAAGGCCTTTGTGACACAGGATATCCCTCTTTAGTATCCTTCCAGAAGAAAGATGAGGACTGCCTCTGGACTAATACATGAATGGAGCTTGTAAGATGACAGTGAGCCAGAGATTGGGTCTTACAGTAGAGCTACTAAAGACTGTGCCCTGCAAATTACACTTCAGTTTTAATGAAACATGAGCTGGATTATGAAATTTAAAAACCCTACTATCGCCTTCTATCACAATGGATTGCATTGTTTTAGAGGGGTGCAGTCTCCCTACAGTGGCAGAGAATCATAAGAATTGATGTCGGGAAACATTTCCTTCTAATTGATATCGGGAAAACGTTGGACATTGCTTCTAAGTAATGGAATGAAGGTTTATAAGTATTTAATAACTTTGTTATATAAGAATATCATATTAGCATTTTCTAATAAGTATTGCTTTATTCCAAGTATTCATCTTCATATTCATTCAAAATTAAAGCCATGCAATATTTTTTTCACAATTTATCTACAACAGGTGAGCATGAGGGGTTTGGAGTCGACAGGAAGACAGTGCAGGAATAGGAGCAATGTGATCACTTGCACAAGACCTGGGCAGGATTCTGGCTGCGAGTGGGGCAATATAGTAATCAATTCAAGAGAAGACGGAAGTGTTGACCAGATTTCAGTTACAATCCCAGATAACGTAGGGCGTAGTCTGGCGATATGTCCGAGATGGAGGAATTGTGTTTTTACAATATTTTGCTTATGTGGACCAAACATCAAGCATGGATCAAATGTGACCGCCAAATTCTTCAGTTTATTTTGATTCAAGTACAGTACCATCCACAGATGAGGGTGAGGTTACTGCATTGCCTACACAGCTGATGGGAGGTGCTGAGAAGCATGACTTCAGTCTTGTCGCAGTTTAGATGAAGGAAAGTTTGAGTCCTCCAGGGTTTTTTGTCTAGAGATGCAATGAGTGCAGAGACAGCCATTTCAGACTCAGGTTTAGTATGGATGCAGATTTGTAGAGTCGATCAATTAGACCATGTGATCTTAATAGCTGATCGAGTAGGAACATGTAAATAGGGGGCCCAGTATTGAGCCCTGAGGAACACCAGACTTAACGACCCAACTTCAGAACTGAGACCCCTGGTGTTGGCAGTCAGTAAGGTAAGAGCAAAGTCGCAAACCCCAAACAGTCTCAAGACAAGAAGTAAGGTTGGAAAAAGGGCAAAAATTACTTTGATTGTCCAGTGTTGTTTGGGTTTTTGTCAGAGAGGTAACTACAGCCATTTTAAAGGCTGTTGGTATCACTCCATCGCTTAAGGACTCTGTTGTATTTAAGTAATGAACATCTATTATTTATATTTACCATAGCACAACATATGTTTTTGTTTTGAATGCCTGATTATTTTTATTATCCCTTCACTCAGCTGGGAGTTGCTAGGTTGCGTTGATGCGGCGAGCCAGTGATTAAAGGGATAGCCGGCGTCTTGCAGGGCCCAATTTTCCTTAACAAATGTTTTCAGCCACAACCTGGTGATGAAACACATTCCCGGAGCCGATCCCGAGCTCGTCCTTCTGAACCACTACTATGAAGAACTGGACGTAAGCATTTGATTTTAAAATTTGTCAAAGCAGAAGGAGGTGCTTTGTTCTATAAGTTCCCTTGAGATGTTGAAAATGAAAGATCGGCAGAAATGCAGGACTGCCTGACTGGATGTTGAGTCCACACAACTGAGCGGGGGGAAACAGCAGAAACAGAATCAGAAGCTGAAGCTGCTGTAGGGTTGAGGTTTGGGTGGCTGTTCACAAAGGTAACAAGCCCTGTGCAGAGGTATTGTAACTGCAGAATATTACTCTCGCAGTGTGGGCCATGCTTGGAGGTCTGGGCATGATATTACAAGCTGGGTGTATATAAAATTATTTTAGTGATCTCGGTTCACTAATATTTATTTGGCACTTAAGAGCCTGTGACATTTGTCAGCTTTGCCAATTCATCAAGCACGTAAATGGACAAATATTGCAGAAACTTCATCTGTGACATTATACTTTCAGCCCTCTGGTCAAAAGACAGATAAGATTACTTCAGCCATTAACACATGCAATTCTAAGGCAGTGACACCATTTGATTTACTTGGAAATCCGTGATTTATTTCTACACAAAGCAGTGACATGGCAAATCGGAGATGAAAATTTATAGTTGATGGAACTGTGATGACGGAGCAAGAAAGGGCAGAATGTGAGACAAAAGGATTTTCTCACATCAGGTTAAGCATACTTCTGAGAATCTGAAAGCAGAGAAGCTATAAAAATAATGGATGTGCTGTGGCCAAGCATCTAACTCACCGAAGTTGTGGCCTAGAAATTGACAACAAAACTTCTGATGTCAGCCATGTATTCTATTCTGAAGCAGAAAAAAGGTTCCCAGACGCTAACAGCAGGGCTAATTTTTCCAGAAGCCAGTTGACTTACCGCTGTGTGATTGGACTGTGGATGCAGACGCAGGGAGAACATACAGACTCCACACAGATAGTGCCGCAGGTCCAGAATTGAACACGGGTCCTCAGCCCTGAGAGGCAGTAACGCTGACCACTGTGCCACCCATAATGCATACTATATAGTTAAGAGTCTGGACCAGAATCTAAAAGAAAACAAATTGACCTCACCGCAGCCTTTACCTTGTTTTCTGCAGAGAAGTGTCTGCAAGGGTATTCACACTGATGTTCAGCCGTTTCTAGTACAAAGTTTCAGAAAGTTTGAGGAACTGGTGTAGGTACAGTATGCTGAAGAGCAGGTCTGCCAACACAGCCCTCAAGTCCTATAGGGTACATAGGACACGATAGTATTGTACAGTGTATATATAGGTGCTGGCTCCCCGATACTTTCTGGAACTTTTGACCTTTTACTTTTAATAACTGCATTTTAACGTCCTCTTTTTTTTACATGATGTTCATATTTTAGTGCATTTCTTAACCTTTAAAAAAAATTCACTAAAGCATACGAAACGCAAACGACCCATTGTAAGCATTGCCCTAATCCTACAGAGCACCATTAATATTCATGCCTCTAAGATCCATTTAAATGTCTGCTGTACAAAACGTTAGTTATCGTTTGATTATGTCTTTTACTGCATTTTACTGAGATTTCTTGCATTTCATTCAGTGTACATTACAGTACCATCATAGGCTATTTGCGGTAGTGCATCACGTTGCTTTTATTCAGTCTCAAACTAGAATGCTGTTTGATACACGTAATTTAACTATTTGGCATTATATTTTTAAAAGTGCTGTAAACCATAAAGAAAGTGGTTTGATTCGAGCACCCGGCTGTCTCCTGCTCCCAGCGGATTCCCCTGACTGACATGAGCCGCGCGGAGATCAACGCCCTGCTGGGCTCGCTGGGCTTCTACAAGAAGTCCCAGCCGGAAGAGCCGGTCCCGGAGGAGCTCCGCTTCGCCCCCGCCAAGGACAGCCCCTGGAGCCGGAGCCCTGAGGCCCCCGCCAGCACCGGAGCCCCCCCGCCGGCGGAGGAGCCCCAGGACACCCCGGGCCCCCCGCAGCCCGAGCGGGGCCCCGAAGAGCACCACTCGGACCTGTAGGTCCAAACCCCTGCCAGCGCAGCGCGGAACCGTGCCCTGGGTCGACTGCGCCCCGGCGGTCGTTGACCGGTCGGTAGGAAACTAAATAGTTGAGATTTTATCTTCATTTGCTCTTATGAACAGGCTCCAAAATGTTGTATTTGGGCATAATGTTGATCCGTTGACCCAAACTGTCATTTTTGGTGTATTATCTCAGTGAATATGTATTCAGGAAGTGGACCTGTAGGGACTGTAGTGCAGACAGGGGGAGATGTGGTCTGATTGATGCACTGCCACAGTAAGCATGTAGTGTTGGCTCAAGTGTTCATACTTCCCACTCACTGCCATTTAACTGTCATGGGGAACAACTTTTTCATATGCTGAAGCAGTTCTTTAGATGTTGCAATAATCACATGCAAGTTTAATTAAAGAGTTCAAGTAGCCAAAAAAACAGAGCTGTAGCTGCTTCTAGAGCAGCTGTCAGACATGAATTTAGGGGATTCAGGTCTCATGGAGAGTCTTTATAGATCCAAATGACAAAACAAAGATGCTCATCAAAGGCCAAAAGCACCACTGCAGCAGCTGATCGAATCACTACTGGGCAAAATCCAATAAGAGGGACCAATAAAATGGCACAGATAGAGCTGGTTTACAGTCCTCATTACACATGAACCACAAAAAAGTCCCAGCTGTCTTAATGTGCAATAAAGAGTGCTAGTCAGATCATTCCACCTTGAGTGGATTTTGAGCAGTTGTCTGACAAAGAATGAAAAGATTGTTGCAAACTGTTTTAGTTCGGAACATATGTATAGACTGACTCCCTGGCAATCGCTCCTGGGCTCTTAACCTCTTGCCTACAGCTGGACAGGATGACGCCCTTTGCCGAAAGTCACTGATAGGCTCAGGGCCGATGTGTGTTCAGGGCAGCAGGGCCTGGAGCACACAGGAGAGATACTGCAGAAGGATTCTGAAGTCAATAAAGCCTCACAACTGCTCAACTACCTGCTTCCTCTCTTTAATTGATACCATTCAGGTCATAGAAGAGGTGTTTCAACCAGCATATGCTACAACAAATGGATTTCATTTTGGATAAAGGTATCACTCAAATTAATAAAAATATAATACTGTGATCTTTTCTATGTTCTCAAAAGGGAAGTGTAAAAAGGGAATGGGGATCAAAAACTTTATACAGTAAAAAAAAAAAATTAAAAGTTGGTTTATTAATCCAGGTGCCCCCAGTGGCTTTGCAGCACTTTAACACTTGCAGGTATCGTGGCCAAAGGTACCTGATCACCACTTTGGCTACTGAGATTAGAGAACAGCTGGAATGAAATATATATGTTAGCTTTCAAAATAATCTTAAAATCCTCTCATAACAGCTTGATTTCAAGGTTTGTCCTCTCCAAGATGGCAGCAGACCAGCAACACTCAGCTGCCAGTTGGCTGGACCAGCAGTCCTCTCTGAAGATCTCTGTTCTGCCAGAGGAGAGATTCTTGTTCCCCTGGCCTCTGCTTCAAAGACGATCCCTGCGGCACATTCCTTTGCATGCAGGTGCATCTGCAGAGCTGAAGCTCTGCCGAGTAAAAAGTAATTCTAAGGGTCGCTCACACAGCACGGAAAGGTTTTTTTCCTACATGCTTTAACCTGGATTGCCTCAAAAAATCTCTGCTAACAAGTCAATTTCTCAAGTAGGCATTACTGCTGGCTTTTAACAGAAGCAAAATCTTTGGAGGGTTTTTGCACTTTAAAGCTGGGGATAAGGAATCATTCTCTCCAACGCTTTCTTGTTGAAATCAATCTAATGTTAGAATGCTTGAAAGCTTATTTCATGGTCAGTCAAGTTATATCTCACTTAAGAGGATTTCTAACAATTTTAAATTTATAACTGTAAATTTCACAATAACCACAGTAGAGATTTAAAATAGTTTATTTGTACAACTTAAAAATGAGTGACTAGGGGGAGCTGGCTGGGAACAAGCATCTCTTGCCAGTATAACATCATGGAGAGCACCACAGCCAGCTCTCTTCAGGCACCAGAGTTCACGTCTACAGTAAATGGGTTTGCAGCAGTTACAGCACTTCTGCTTAAGGACTAGACACCAACATCACAAGTTTAAGGACAGGGAAAAAAAGTCTGCTTAGTCATATTTGACAGTACTGTGTTACTGGTCATCCCGATGAGAAGGTCATTTTTAATTTAAGCCCCAAATCATTTAGCAACCACCCAAAAGCAGATTTCTATTAGTGTTTAGTTTTGAAGAATTTAAAATACATAGCATTTATTTCAACAGCTAAGTTTCACATGGTGTCAAGTCATAATTTGGGATGAGTAACTAACTTGTTTCGGTTGGCAGCAGTCCGTTTGTGGACTTAATCAATTCATACGAAGCCCATTTACAGGTGATTAATTCAGATACAACGTATGGAGACAGGGCCACAGCTCAAACCAAGACCCAGCCCCTCACTGGACCTCACTGGCTCAGCAGGTGCTCACAGGTGGCAACTCGGCCTGTTTCTTCGTCCTTAAATCGCACCGAAATAATCGCTCCTTCCAGCAGAGGAACATGACTCATCCAACATGACAGCCCTCCGGGAGGTATGAGGTCAAAGGGGCATGACAGCTTTGTAAATTACTTTATCTGTTCAGACATCCCCTATTTGGGCTCTGTATTTAACACTGTAACACAGTCATTCAGCAACTTCAAAGACCAAAACCTGCTCATCCTATCAAAATCATTAGACATAACATTTAGTTTAACACAAACCAGGTATTAAAAGTTGTAAAAAGTGTCAGAATACATCAAAGACAAATAGACAAAACCAAACATTGTACATGATTAAAAATATTTCCCTGCAGAGCTGTGCTGCTGGCAGTGTTTAGCAGAAAGCCTGTGGCTGCTCCCAGCGGGAAGCCGACAGAAAGCGGTCACTTCAGTCTGGCCCTGAGACTGCCAGGATGGCCAGAGACGGGACAGTGACACGAGCACGCCAACGACAAGCTGTGCAGTCTGTCACTGGGGTGGAGCTCCGTCTCTCCACATGTTCAACTACAACCTCATGCTTCCGAGAAGCTCTGAGTGGATTTTGTATGGCAACTTCAAAAGCTATTCTTTCCTGCTCTGAAGTTCAAAATCAAACCCTTTCTGGTAAGGAAACCCTGGGAGGTTCTGAATTTAAGAAAAAAATCCAACTGACCAAGGGGCTTTCTAAACAATTCAATCTAAAATCTCAGGCAAACATTAAATTTCACTGAAATGTTTATTTCAGTGAAAATTGTTTACCTATTTTGCTGACACTAGTGCAATATGCTGGTATGGTCTTTTGTTTTCTGGTTTAAGAATTGCAATTTCAAGTTAGAGGACAGGTGTCCAGGGTCCAGACTGAAGGCAGAAGCATACTGGTTATCACAAAAAAAAATACAGATGAAATATACTTTCCATACCAGTGCTTACACATTTATTTAAATAATAAAAAACAATTCAAGTTCATGTGTGTTTAAAAAGCATGCAGTATAGTAAATTATATTACAGCTTCTGTACCGGGACTGGAGTCTGAAGAACACTGATAACTGTCCGGCCCAACCTACTTCCTTCACACAGGTGATATTTTAGACTTCTTTAGTCTTTATTAAAACTTTGTTTCAGCTCACGACTCACTGAAATCATCAGAGGCTCTCACATAGGCAGGACATGGTGGAAGGGTCTGTCTTTCATTTATTTTCACAATAATTTTACCGTCATAAATAAAGCAGTAAAGCTGTTAAAAGCCCTTGATGTGTGACGTGAAAGAGATCACAGCTGGGCCATTTCACTCAGGCCCGAGTGCAGTCAGTAAAGATCCCCTAGCTTAGACAGTGGCGTTAGGATGTGGGACAATCACTTAGATCCCTTCCATCACTTTGACCTGAATGACCTATAACGGCACAAACGACACGAGCCCAGTTAAAGGGCTGGTACAGTCCTGTGCCACCAGAAACCAGTCCTGCTGCTAAAGTGATAGAAGTGGTGTGATCCCGAGCCGCTCTGGTTAGACTGAAGACGGCGTGGGAAATCCTCAGGGATGGACATCGGGAATTGCGGGGCTTGTAAATTACAGAATCTAAAGTTCAGGCCAAGTGCTGGAACCATCCAACATCCAATATACCACCAACAGCCCGTGTAGGGATACAATGAGCACAATGTGGGGTTTAACCATCACCCTTTTACTCTTCATCAGCTTGTGAAAAGTGCATTTCATTGATTTTACCACTAAGTTAAAACAAATACAATGGCTAGTTGTTGGACCTGCTAGATGCAATACAATATCACATGAGCACTAGATCTGCTCAGGCTATTCCTGAATTATAATAAACGCCGAGTGCCACTACTTGGGAAAATTCTGGATAGCAATCTTTATTTTGGTAATGAAATGCTCCTGTACTTCTGAACTGTCTAAGAAAAACAGAATAAACCCGATCTTGGCCAAACCCCCAGGGCATTTGTTTAACACCATGAAGATTGGAAAAGCCAGACTCAGCCGGCCACAGCAGATGAAAGTATAGACCTTATGGTTCAGTCAATAAGCAACAGAGCTGACAGGCAGGCCTTGCACAAGGGGCTTCACAAGGGCCGACAGCAGTACGTTTGAGGTGCAGAGGGATGAGCCGGGTCCCGGGAAGGCAGAGCGTCTGTGTCCTGCAGTTAGAAGTCGGTGTAGCCACGGCAGGCCAGCTCGTACCTGCGCAGGTGATTGAAGAGTGACTGGACGTAGGTGAAGACACACTTAGAGTCCGGCCTCCTGCCCATGATCATCATGTCCTCCACCTCCAGCAGGGGCATACAGTGAGCGAAGCTCCTGCAGGGCACAGAGTGGGCAGGACAGCCCCGTCGGGAGACGGAGAGAGACAGAAAGTGCAGTTAATGAGGGGAAGAAGATGCTCTCCTGCCTGGGGCAGTTGTACCTGCACCACAGCCTCTCGCGCAGAAGAGACTCACGGATTTTAGAAGTTTCAGACAAACAGCACAGTGAGATAAATAAAAGAGAACCCCTCCCTATTATAGTTGTAGCACAGGTTTCTCAATTAAGGTTCAAAATAAATCTTATCTTATAACGGGATTTGTATATATTGCTTGGGCCTTTCCTCTGTATTTTTCTTATATGCTATAGATGTTATTTTCTAGTTTGACTTTCCAGAATCTAAAAGTTTGTCTAAAAGTTTTTTACATAATTATTTCAAACAACTCACTACTTTAGCACACACAGGTAGTCAGAAATTTGGATTAGCATCACATCGAAAAAGACAGCAGTCTGATTAATGTACCTGCAGGATAGAGTTTTATTAAGTGGAGGAGAATATGAAAGGAGACACACTGAGCTCCTAGAAAGGTGTAAGTGAAAAGTGTCACTAGCTAAACATGACAACTTCTTGCACAATCCAGTTTTTCACATCTTCCCAGTACAGTACTGCATCATGACCAAGGCAAAGTCTAGCTGCTCTCTGGCCACCTCAGATTTTCAGATCAGTGATCCATGAGCACTGAAGTGTTCAGGCCTCGTGAGTCATTAAACTGGCACTGTGTATTTAAGAGCAGAGCTAGAGGATAAAAACCATAATTAAACTCAGTATGTAGGTCTCCCTATCTCCCCAAGCTAAGTCCTGTCAATACATAGTCTGACCACTGGAGGGAGACATAGTACAGGAGGATACAACAGTCACTGCTAATGAAGGAGAATTTTTATTGGGACATCCCAAGCTCCAAATAAGTTATAATAAAGAACATGGATATAACTAAAATATGTTTTACTATTACCATATATTTCTTCTTGGCTCAGAAGTTAAGACACAGGTGTCCAGTTAAGATTAACTACACATTAACAGCACATAGGACCTTGATGGACTCTGCTTTGTTTGAATATCTGAAACTCTTTTCTTTGAAAATTATCCAATGTGTTGATATGACACATGACAGTTTCTTCTTAATAAAGAAGTATAGGTTTGAATTTTAATGCAACAGAGTACAAGAGTACAACAAAAGAGGTGATGGAGTGTGAGCTGTGCTATCCCACATGTTGGATCAGAGCTTAGGAATTTGACAGCTTAGTCAGACGTTCAAAGGTGGAGGTACTGAAAACTGTTCTCCAAGGCTTAGCTGGGCTGCACTGTGCAGCAGTAATGATGATACAATATGCCCCTCATTGGAAATGAAGAGCGCAGTGCAGGGATTTGAATGCATCTCAGTACAGCTTCACATCAAACTGTACAGATGAGAAAATAAGCTTCCTAGCTACTTACCACTTCATAAAGAAAAACTGTTCCTGGTTAAAAGTACACAACTCCTTATAAAGACCTGATCTTCACATTTAAAGACTAATCACTGCTCTCCCTGCTGGAATCCCAGCTCTTAAAAAGGCAATGTTTACACATCTCTCGCAGGGAAACAGTTCTGGTGGACCGGGGCCAGCAGCCAGATGAGCACAGCTGAGTTCTATCCAAAAAGCTTTGCACTAATTACAGAACAAACAGAGCCCGTCACTGCGACTCTGAGCATCCGAGCACAGCTCCGCCCCTGAGTAGATATGCATATAGTAGATGATTGTTGTCCGAGTTTCAGGTAAGCTATGAATTGTAGCTGGATACACAGGGTCTACCCTCTTGTTTCTCTCTAACCAACTCTGCCTAGAGAAGCACTAAGAACCTTATCCAGATCCTTATCCTGTGTGTGCATTTTCCGATATGGACAAAACAGAAGGATCTATTCAAATATACAATTCTTCATGGTTTACCTCGCCTGTTATGAGAAGTGTTGAAGCACAACATGAGCAAAAATCTTTGAAACTAACCCAGTAGGCTAAAAAAACCTTAACCTAAAAGAGATAACTGCTCTGACAGGGCAAACAATGTAATTAAATTGTCGCTAAATCCCATTAAAGTGACAAGTTATAGCAGAAAACGAATACACTGGAGCCAAACTCAACCATGGACCACAAAGCTTCATTATTGCCAGTGTCGCACACTGGACAGAAGTGTCCCATTGACAGTCTTACATTCGAGTCTAAACCAACTTCGCTGTGACACTTTTTCAGTGGTTTCTACTTCGCTTTCTTCCAATATAATGTTGTCTAGATATTGACCAAATATTTAAAACAAGGCTCCAATAAGACCTAAATAACAGGCATACAGTAACTGAGACACCTTAATTCAAGGTGAAAACCCCAGTCTAGTCGAGATGAAAACAACAATAAAGTCAGCTTGAGTCCTGAGCTGAAATAAACACCCGAAGAGCTCGTGGCTCTGAGGGGAGCAGGCCACAGCTGCTGTGTCCGACGCCGACGGGACAGAGCCCTACCTGACCGCCTTGCATCTTGAAGCTGTGGACAAGAACAGTTAGCGCTCCCCTTTCGCAGGGGACGTCCTGGCTGGACCACCCCACACCACCCCCACAACCACCACCAGCCGCGTGTCACCCCTGTGGTATCCCGCTCTCACCATTTGTTTGGGGGGGACGCAACTCTAGGAGGAGTTTTTGGTTTTAACAAGCCCTTTCTGGACGAGGCCTCTGTAGAACTCCTGGACGTACGTGTACACGCACTTCCAATCCGGCTCGCGCATCCGAACCATGTCCTCCACGTCCAGGAGCTGCGGACAGTCGGCCAGCTTCCTGCAGCCCGGCCGAGGAGCAGGGAGCAAGAGGAGAGTCACAGGGAAGACAGAGAGAGGACAGGAAGAGGAAGAAGGCAGAGGTGACGAGTGGTCAGGACAGCGGGAACGAAGGGAGGGGGGAGGGAGAGAAACAGAAAGGGACGAACAGGAGGGCGGTGAGCAGCCAACAGAGAGGTGAAAGAGAGGAGAGACACAAAAAACAAAAACATTACATTCTCTCAGAGACATATCCATGAGTCATCATGCATCATGAACGATTCTGACATGTCAAATGGAACGGCAGGGCGTGTCCATTCGTGGTGTGCACCGAGACAGGAGACTGGACAAGAGCTGGACAGAGGACACGAGCAGCAGCGCCACCCGCGCGGTCTCACGCCGGACCGCCCTTCGCTCTGTTTGGGCTCCATGAGTGGTGTAAAAATAAAGGCAACAGACACGAAGACAGGGCTGCTCGGGCAGCGTGGGAGCAGCCGACGCACACGTCTCAGAAGCGTGGGGACAGGGGGTGAGAGGGACGGAGGAGGGACGACTCTTGTGATTTGCCTCTGACAGGGAGGTTTCTGATGAATCTTTTTTCATTTTTTTCTTTTTTCTACACTGAATTTGTTTTATGTCCTGGCTCACAGCAATGATTCCTGTACTGCACAGCGAGCATGAAGGGCAGACAGGCTCCTCTGACCCGACCAGGCAGCAGAACCGTTCATCCTGATACTCTAGAATACTTTAAATCAAGACGCAGCACATGCCTCCCTGACATCACTGCAAGTCTGCTGGTTCCAGTATAGTCTCAGGAGTCTGCTCACTTCAACACCACCCCAGTGCAATCATGCAGACACTCGGACTTTCCTAGAGATGGAACAGAGCCCAGTTTGCTGGAGAAAGTTTCAAGACCACAGGATGGGGAACCTGCGAGAGCAGCTTCCTCAACATGAAGCCATGGACATCACAACTCCTTAATATCACAGAAATAAAATTTAGATACAAATTCAGTATAATGAATTTCTTCAACAAAGTCCATGCAGACTGCTATCCGACCCCTTACTACGACATCTCGTATAGAATAATTTTACCAAACCGTGAAAATGCAAAGTTAGTTCAGTCTCCTTCAGAGGAGTTGTGGGAGTCTGGAACAAGCTACCCAGCCATGCCTTTAAGAAACAGCTGGAGGAGATCCTCTGATCAATTAACTATAAATATCAAACTGGCTACAGGCGGTGAATGGCCTGCTCTCATTTGGAACTGTTTGGATATCATGTCTTCTCACCCCTCGACACTTCAGCTCAAAGCTGTGGCTGGTCATCACCTGGAGATCTGTAGACTGAGCACAAATGTCTGGATGTTGACATGTCCAAACACAACCTTTAGCCTAAATTCCAATTTAGAGAGTAAAGTCTAATGCTTGTGTGTAAAAATCTAATATGATAATCACCCTAAGTGGTAACTACCAATGGGGCTTTAGGAAGCATTATTCAATACATGATGTCAGGGTCATCAGAGTCTGTGAGAGGACAATCCTGCAAGAGGCAACAGGTTCACATGCAGTACGGATGCGTGGTGCTCAGGTCATCTATCTCAGTGAAACACTTCAGCAGGTGACGTCGAAGCAGAGGTCAGAGGTCAGGCCATGCTAGCTGCACACAGACCACCCAGGCAACAAACCCTCTACCTGCCATCCCAGAACAGGATGTTGGGCATAGTGACAATCTCTCTTCATTGTTTCATTAACAGTGAGTCCAAATATATTTCATTGGGAAAACTCTGGTACCAAAGTTCAGAAAACACTGGGCAATATTTAAGATGTACACTCTTTCATCAAATGCCGGGGAGATATCAGCAAAAGCAGAACTAAATGACGAGTCTTAGCATTTTTAAAAGTAATTAGTTTTAAGCTATGAAATACTGCAGAGCTAGAGAAGATGACATATGTTTGCAGTAAGCATGCATTAAGGTATGATTGCAACAATAGCTGTTAGGGTACTGAAAGCAGCCTCCCTCTATCGTGACTTCAGCCATCTGAGAACACTACAGTCATGTCTCATCTGCTTGGTGTGGAGAACTGACATTTCCAAATGTTTCCACAGCTCTTTATTTTTCATTTTATCCCAATTTTTAAACAAAGGAATGAATTAACATAAATACTTTCAAGCCTAGAGCAAGAGAAGAAGTTGAGCTTGGAACAGATTCAAAATATGGCCATTAATATAAGGAGTTCTTCTATTCAAATTCAAGTTGAAGTGAATCATTTCTGTGTTGGGCACAAATGGGTCCACGACGGGGTCAGACAGGGGAGTGGGAGTGTAATCCTCTCCAGAGCTTGGGACCGGGGTGGAAGCGGAGCAGTAGAATGGGTTTGCTGCAGCTGGGAGGGAAGAAGGATTCCGATTCTCAGCTCACGAGAGAGGAAAGCTTGAGGACAGGACGAGGGAGAGAAGGAGGAGACAGAGGAGGGGGAGAGAGACTAGGTGCGGAGACCAGAAAGGAGCCCTGAGCTCATTCCAACCTCCACACCAGACCGAGCAGGAGGAGATGGCAGGGGGACAGAGCACACGGCTCTCCGATTAGTGACCTTGCCAACCATCTGAAGGATTAATCTCACAAACGGGCATTTTTAGTACGGGACTTGGGAGGTACACAGCACATTACAAGGGAGGAGTTCACCAAAGCAGCTCTGCAGATAAAAAGGGAGATGGGGGTTAGATTGAGGGTTGTAGCAAAGTCAATGGAGTGCACAGCTCTCACACAGGCAGGACATCTTATAGCAGTACTCGTAATAGCACTTTTCCTACAGGACATCCATTTAGGCCTATCTCTGGGATGCTGGAAGGGCAGCTGTAGGCTTATGTTGTGCAGGGTGTACATGAAATGCAAACCCTCAATGTCCAATTAGCATATACTCCCTGGGCTAGGGGCTTTGACACCTTGCTGCACAGCAGGGGTAGGTTTGAGTCCCTCTTTTGATTAATTTTATTTCTTCTTCCCCATCAGATCCAATTTTGAAACAATTTTGTCTTTCAAAAAGGAGGAGAGGGGTCAGAGACCAAGCAATGAAGGGAACAATGCCAACATGACATGGAGCTGAAGGAGTAAAACACAGGTGAATTCAGGAGCTCCATTCTCAGAAATACAGCTGGGATTTTTCTTTCTCAACAGACACACCTGAGAAGCAGACGGTTGTAGTACCCGCCCCTGCAGGAGGAGAAAGATGGAAAACCTTCTCAAGTTGCCACCCCACTGCCTTCCTCTATAGACTTTTACCATTGTGCTCAGAAGGAAAGGAAAACTGATGCCATCTTGAGGGGCAAAACTAAGGCTCAGCTTCACCCCTCTTTGAAGAATCCTTAAACCCACATGGAATGTTCTCATCTTAGATCAAAGACTGGACTTGCGATAGGATACACATTTTGTCCAAAAAGCATGTAAGAACAGTGGCAGCAGTAGCAGCAGCCATCACCTGGTAAACAAGGTGTTAGAAATGAAGAAGAAAACAGGCATTCTGTGATCTGGTCCGTACACTGTATTTTTGGATTAAAATATTAGGACAATTGTGTCAAAATTCACACATCAGAATTACACGGTGCAATCTACTCAGAACTGTTTTGCTGCTTCTTCTTTGTTTGACACTACAAGGAAAAGGCTGCATGAATGAGCCACAGCATCTACACAAACAAACTAGCGGGAGGCTGGCGTCCACAAGGGCGGTCTCCAGTTCCTCCAATATGTTGAACACCGGACAGAAATGCTGGAAGCAGACAGCTCTGTGGACACCTTATTACTCTTTGTTACTACAGACCAAAGTTTAAAAAACAGAGTAGCTGCTGTTGTACAATTAATTATCAAAATGAAGAAAACTTGAAAAGCTTTCCTAAAACGATGTCGATCTCTTAGCACTGCTGTAAAAAGTCACACCTCCGAGTACATGAAGAGATTCCTTACATCTCTGGAAACCTTAATGAGAAAGGATTAAACACAACTAGGCCAGACTCTTCCAGTCACATCACAAATGTTAACTTCAAGTTCATCATTACAGTGTAAGTGAACTGGAACAATTTCAGCATTTGTTTTCATTCACTTCTGCATTTTTATCACTCCAAACTATAACCCCGGAAATTCCAACACGTTAAACTCTTACAGCTCCTCTCTTTGTCACTTTAGCTCTCACCCCGACCCACAGGGGGCAGCGCAGGCAATCTGTACTCACTCTGCTGAGCTGAAGGCCACCTCAAAGTTGTGCCGCCGGTTCTGGGGGTTGAGGGAGGAGTATTCGAAAGCATCGGGGAAGAAGTTGTGCACCAGAGCACAGAACGCCATTCCGTCACTCCAGCTGGACGAGAAGTTCTGGATGTCGACGTGCTGGGAGTGAGACAGGTCACGCTCACCATGGGAGACCGCAAAAACTAGACCGATCCACGTCAAGGGGAGACTCTGCCGCCTCTCATCTTTAACCTTTCTTACTGGTTATTCGGAGCACATTCATTGGATCTTTAGTAAGATAATTCCTTTAGAATTATATCATTTCACACGTTTAAAGATATATTAAAGACTCAGGAAAAACCAAGAAATCCTCTTTTTTTAAAACCCAGAGATAAGAGCAGTGGAGGTTGCTAGCAGGGAGATACCCGCACAGAGGAGCACGCGAGCCCAGTGTCACCTGGCGGGCTGCAGGCCATCAGGAAGCAGCGACACTGACCTCATAGCCACGGGTCTTGGCACGGCACCAGTCCAGCAGCATCTGTTTGATCGAGTTGGCGTTGGGGACCCCGAAACTGGACGACCGCTGCATCTTCACCACCCGGGACACCGCGGGATTGGCTGGTCTAGTTCGAAGAAAGTCACGTGGTCACAACTCCGTCCCGCAGCCACGTCCAGCCGCAGCTCCTTTTCTTTTTACATACGGATGTTCCTTCTCTACTCAATGGCTGACATCGCGAGCCAATGGTATTTATAATCAATACTGAAGGCTATACTCGAAACCACACTCACAGGTGGAATCCTGCCTCTGCCCCTTTTAAAATACTGTCTTCTGCAATTACAGTCTATTACTCAGTCAGAGGGGATTTATCATCATGAGTTACTAACTGCAAAAGCTCCTGTCCCCCCACTGGGAGGACCCACTCATCTACTGCACAGCTGCAAACACTGCTGCGCCTGCAGGAGCAAAGAGATTCACAGGAGTCGAGGGCCCACAGCTCAATGGACCCTGAGTGACTTGAATTAACCACCATACCCATTTGGAAGACCCGGCACAGTGAGGTGACCTGAGTTTAAAACAATATCTGCACCACGGGACTCAATCCACCCTCCCACCGAGAGCCTTTACTGCTTCAGAAGCTCAGCATTGACTCGTGGTTGAGGCCTTCAGCCGGCTACAGAAGGCAAATCTTTAATACCAGGTGGAAAAGCCAAGGGAAGAAACCGTCCATGTTGCTGAAGCAGATTTACAGAGCTCAAAGATTCAGAGGGCAGCTTGAGGAGACCCACGTCCAGCAGGTGCTGCTCTTGCCCTTCTTGCTTCAGGGCTGGGAAACCTCCGTAACGAGCAGGGTGGCCAGAGAAGGGCGCTATATGAAAGGCATGGATCTGAAACGGACTGTGAAGCTCCAGCAGCTCCGTCTCCCTTTACTCTCTCAGAATTGCCGCTAAGGGACAGATCATCTCTACATGAAGAGTCCCGAGGAACAGCCCAGCAAGATTCTTGGATACTAAGTAGTCAAATGGGCAGCCTGGCTTGGAGTCGTGACCTGCGGGGACACATTTAAAGCTCACAGTGCAGCCAGCCAGCCTCCCACTGGCCCCTGCTTCCCTCACCCCGCGCTCTCCTTCTCCAGCTTCTCGATCATGGCCTTCCTGGCCTGCGCGGCGGAGGTCTTGGGCAGGGTCTGGGCTCGCATCACCTCCTTGCGCCGCTCCGCCTGCTTCCTCTCCAGAGCCGCCAGCCCCCCGCCGCGGGGCGAGGAGTCGTCCTCGCGGTCAAAAACACTGGGGAGAGCAGGAAGAGCCAGATCACATCCTTCTCCATCTCCAGATCGCTCCGAGCGCTCCCCGGTCACTGCAGCCGAAACCGTGCTTCAGATTCACCACTGGAATCTTACCTGCCCACTTTCTTGGTTGTGCTGGAGGAGTAGCTGTAGGATTTGGTCTGAACTGTGGTTCCTCCTGGAGGGACAGAGAGGCTGTTACCATCACCTACATCATACCAGCACACGGTCCTCAACAGGGACGATTCTGCAAGCTCTTCTCGTTAAGATATCTTCTACCATTTTATAGAGACCTCAAATAAAGGATGAATATGTAAACTAGGCAGGTTTGCAGATTATACCAAAACAGGGGTACATTCCCAATGTGTATTTCAGCTGCTTGCTTTGCGCCTCCCCAAATGCCTAACTTGAAGTAACTACTCACTGTCTGATCTCTGGATGTAACTGGCCTCCACTGTGGTGCTGTGGGATGACCTGCTGCCATTATCTACAGAAAGAGACAGAAAGGGCCCATTAGCACAGCAGAGACCGAGGAGTGTGTGCCATCAGGCTCTGAGGAGGCATGGCCACTCACACTACAGAGTGGACACCTTGCGTCCAAAACAATGGAACTTTGCCTCCAAAACCGTTTATCCGTTACCCAACCATTTAAGGCAGTTACTACAAAGGAGTGTCAAAAGGAAATGAAAAGTCGTTGTTTGAGGAACAGTAAAGGTTCATTCCAGGCTGCAGCCTGAAAGAGGCTCCACTGGCATGGCACGAACCTCTACCTCCCCCTCTTAGTTAGCCCACGTTTCCCCATCGCCAGGGACCGTCAGGACAACTGAGCAGCAAGGACAGGACACAGGACACAGGCTCGAGCCGGGCAGCAGCACGGCGGTCACTGCTCACAGCTAAGAACAGCTGCAGTGTTGTGTGTTACATGGATGCAAGTGATCAGCAGAAAACAGATCTCGGTGTCCTATTTGATACCCAGTGAGACAGGTAAGCGTTACTGAAGAGCAAACCAAGCGCTAGACCTGGCGGCTCAACACCGTCGCAGAGGGGGCAGGGAGGCTCATGGCCGCCGTGGGGGATGAGCAGAGTGCAGGCCAGGGGATTACCAGAGTGGGAGAAGCGGTCAGTTTTGGTGAGAGCGCTGACAGTAGAGCCGTCGGACGATTTCTCCGTCTTCTTGAGCACCAGCTCCCCAGAGCTCGTCGGCTTGGGCTTCTTCTCCTCTTGCTTCCTCTGCAGCTCCTGGAGCCGCAGGTCTCGCTCCTTCTCCCGCTGGTCTGGAGGGAGAGAGGGAGCCGAGCGCGCACGAGTGAGCGCCCCCTGATGGCCAGCACGCTGAAGAGCGCTCCACCCATCCCTGACCAGACAGCTACTTATCCTGACGGGCATGTGACGAACCAGACCCCACCACACTGCCAGCACTGCTGCAGGCAGCTCTTACAGTTTCAGAGAAATCATCCAAACTATAAGGCAGAAAAAGAACACTTCTATACTGAAGTTTGTATGGAACTTTTAAATGTAAAAAAACGATCAAAGTTTTCTAAAATAAGGTTTCAACAAAGGGAAACCTACATGACAGACACAGAGATGTCAAATGCAGTGAATCCACAAGCATGCAGATCAAACTGCAATCAAACAAGCACAGCGCACACAGCAGCTGGACAAGCAGGAACACACACACATATACACACACAGCTCCTGGCACAGGCAGCACAGCAAGGCTACAGAGCACTATGTCACAAAACACCCCACCCTCACACTGGCCACTCCATTTCAATAGCACTGATACAGAGTATCCAAATGCAGTTTGCTTTATTCTGTTTCAAACAGAACAGTAAAAGCTTAAAAAAAACAATACTGTCCTGGTTTGTGAAGAAGTATTATTCTTCCACAGCAACTGCAGGTGCAGGTACTCAGGTACAGCCTCTAAATCTTCCTTCGTACAGACAAACCTAAAGGTGTCCTGGTGACATCCCTCTATTCCATTCCATCAAAAATTAAGCTCCAAAATACGATTAAGCAAACGGTACTGGATATCAATAGCAAGAGGGAGATGAGTGAGTGTTGACACTACAAGATGTCTGCCCTCTCCAGCACAGGGCTCATCCTCAAACATTCCTCCCCAGTGACGAGGCCTCATCTCGAGCCAGGTACTTCACTCAAACTGCCCTAGTTCAATGCACAGCTGTGTAAAGGGTTACAAGTCTATGTCCCTTTGGATAAAAGAATCTGCCAAATTAATAATAACCTTAAAATCCACCCACCCCCAATGCTCACCGGCGTAACTCAAGTTTGTTTAAATTAACCTTTGGTACAGTCTGGGGTTTCTCTGAAGCTCCTGTGCAGCGACAGTATAAATAAAATAACCCCAAATCCCCACCTCACAATTAACTCATGTACTGCCGAACATCATCTAAGAGGACCATATTCATGAAAGCAGTTTCTACCACAGCATATTCAAACAGGGAATTAAGAAGAAACATCTTAAGAGAAATCTTCGCCACTTTCCAAGTTCAGAGGACAAGAGTAGGTGTGCGGTAGTGGCACTGACTGCTCGATGAATACGGCCCACAGTGCCTCAGACTGGCAGCAACACAGAGCCACACAGCTCACGCTTCATACCTGGCTCCTCCTGGCCGAGTCCAAGCAGGACCTCTGCAGGTTGAGAGGGAGGTGAAAACAGAGGTAGAAAGATAAGTTGAGGAGAGAGAGAGGAAGGATGCCCAGGTCATGAGAGTGACACACTAGGACTCAGCCATGGGGAATTGGAGCTGCAGACATCAGGGGAGCACAGAAGTAATCAAGGGGCTGCATGGAGAATGGCACAGGGCTTGCAGGGAGACTAAGACAGATGATGGAGAAGACGTTATTCTATTATGAACACGCTGGAAGTCCCTCATTATAGCAGCCATAACCTCTGGCAACAAGGAAATTGTTTCTGTGAAAGCTAATGAGCTAAACCCACTTCAATGAAGAATCATTTACACCAGCTGAAAATTGTTTCACCCACAATCTTCACTGGTAATTGTTTTCCTGAGAATAAGTCTCCACATACGCTTGCAATCCAATAGAGGAAAGCATCTGAAAAAGAGGGAAATCCACTAATCTCCAAAAAGCACACCTTTCCTTTCGAAATAAGCAAAGCAGAAACCGACTCCCTGGGCCGCAGTCGCCCGGCGGGAGGGCGGCGCGCTTGTGTGCAGCTCACGACTCGCCTCTTTTCTTCTTGCGCAGCTCCCTCATCGCCGCCCTGATCAGCTTCCGCTCCTCGAAGTCCGTTGCCTCGTCCAGCTGTCAGAAGACAGTAGAGATGTCACCAGCAGCTCAGGGAATGGCAGCAGTCCAGTCCCCAGTCCCTCTCCTCCCAGTCCTTTGGCCTTCGTGCATTTAACCAAATTTAATTCTAAATAAAATCTCCTCAAAGAAACCGGAACCTCCTGGTGTTTTACAGCTCTGTGCTGTCTGCTCCACTTACATCAGCGGTGCACCGGACACAGAACATATCCATTCCTCTCTCTCCTCTTTCACCCATCAAGACTTCTAACAGTCTCCTCTGGACACAAGCAAACCCCATTTAGCTTGTTCAAATGAAAATAAAAGAAACAACATTTCAGAACTGGCATCTATCTCCGTTCTGATTCTCAGGGAATCAGAGTCTCCGTGTCTTTACAGCACGGTGACACTGCTCACTGCTCGCTGGCTCGGCCTCACACCAATCCCAGGGTTCCTTGAGCATACCATCTTGTCCAGGACCACCTCGTCGTCCACAGCGGCCAGGTCCTCCGGGGTGAGTGTCCCCGGCTTGTCCGCCCCCTTCCCCCTGGGCTCCTCGGAGCCGTTGGGCACGGCGGTGGCCTCGCTGGGGGCCGCCTCCGAGGGCTGGAGGGCTGCAGGCGACTCCGTCTCCATCTGGTGGAGGAATTAGGAAGGAGAATGAAGAGCTCTACGCCTTTGCTATATTTGTCAGTGTGTATGTGTCTGTACAACCAGATTGGGCATATTTACAAGGGCTCTAAGCTGTGATGGAAATGAGAGTGATGAGAGACAGACCAGCACACACACACGAGCTTTGAATATATACAAATCTTTCCACTTACATGTGACAGGCCGTGCTATTTTTGTACCCCTGCACAGCTTACGCCTCAGTGTTAAATCTCCCTTATAAAGGATATTGTGCTTGCGATTGTCCAGGAAGGCTCAGAGCTTACTGCACTCACCACTGATTCAGGAGAATCAACCTGTCACACCTCTCCTCGCAGACATGGCTTTATTCACACCTGACAGCAGAAATCAACACTAAGCACTGTCACCTGCTACCCTGAATTAGACCACCTGCCATCTCCTGTAGTGCCCTGGTCAGCACTCCCTCTCTCACATCCAGTGCTGGCCCAAAGGTAAGCTCGGAGGTCTCGCACGCCCAGGTTTCCAGATTGCGGATGGGTTAAATGACTCAAGACGGCTTGCTGACATTTGGAGAAGAGTCATATGAGGCAGAACTGCACAGTTGTGTTCAACAGAAGATGCACAATGACTATGACCTGTACAGTGAAATGGACACGTGAATGTTCTAGGATTCAAAACGCTGGAGGCCATCAGTCCCCCACTCGCTGCCCTAGGATGAAGTAAAACAAAGTGTTTGGCTACAAGCAGATTTGCCCATTGGAAGTATCCCATTTCCCAGCCCTCGGTAAAGGAAGCCCCATGCCTTTAACTGCAAGTATTCCCAGTTGACTGATGAATACACTCAGAGTGTACTGTATTCAATGACACTGTGCAGATTCTGTAGACTCTAGCACATTCTCATGAATGCAATGTAAAGCTTCAGCTGCACGAGATTCTGGTGCTCATACAGGGCAGACAACAGGAGATACAGTACTTGCACCCAACGCAAGTGGATGCTAATGGCCAATTCCCTGCAAGCAGGCAGACTGAGCCAGGGCCAAGCACAGCGAGAGGCTGCTGACCGCAGTGGAACCCATGCGGTGTGCCAGCAATCTGACACCTAGTCAAACTGCTGTGAGAATAAGTACAAAATAATAAAGACATTTAAAGCACCTATTGTTTCTGAATTCCAGTTGATTATTGCTGATCAGAAAGGAGGGGTGCGCTTGTGGGGGCAGCACAGTGGCCAGCTTCTCAGCTCTGGGGCCCTGGGTTCAGTTCCTGGGCTGCTGTCTGTGTGGAGCTTGTATGTTCTCCCTGCGTTTGTGTGGGTTTCCTCGGGCTGCTCCAGTTTCTACCCACAGTCTAAAGAACACACTGATAGATTAAATGACCTCTGTAATATGGGCCCTGGTGAGAGAGTGAACATGTCTGTGTCTGTGCCTCCTGAGATGGACTGGTGTCCCATCCATGGTGTACCCCGCCTTATATCTGCTGCTTGCTGGGATAGACTCCAGTCCCCACATGACCCTGTACTGGACAGAACGGTTAAAAAATGTATGAACAGATGGGCATGCGTGGAGGGGATAGTTCACCCTTGTTCAACAAATTGCTGTACTTGAAAAGGTGTGATGAGAGAGAGGTTTGCCGAGTCTGACTTCAAGCAAAGGCACCTAGGGCTTTGGACCAGGACCAGAAACGACAAGTGGTCTTAAAATTACAGTGGGGGGAAAAACATTTAAGTTGTACCGAGGAAGTTGAAAACGATGCATTCCATTACAATTTGTGAGAAAAGAAAGCCACACAAACTATCAATGGCCAAATCTACAGAGAACAACAAATTTGACTTACACTTACAAAAAACACTTTCTGTCCTATTTATGTTATTTACATGGAATGAACATCTAAAAACACACCACACATTCTTCAGAGGTATCCTGTAGGTAGAAATATGGCCAAATGTTGTATTCGACATCTGGAGCAAAGATAAAGCTTAAAGAGCCTGTTGATATGGGAAACGGACTTCCCCAGATACCTCTTTTTCCCAGCGGGTAACAGTACAGCAGATGACAAGTTAAAAGCGTATAATGAACAGCTTTTGTTGTGAAACCAAAAGACTGCTGACTTCTAGTTTCCTATGTAAGATGAAGGGGTATGAAACTGAAATGTGATGAACTTCCCTGGTTTTCCGGCAAAGAGCTCAAAGTAACTCTGTGCTTCGTGCACTGTGTGCTGTGGAAACCCACAATGAAGGTCTGGGGCAAAAGCCCATTTCTCCACAAGGGAAGACGGGAGTGGACTGGGCTTAGACAGGAGAGTGGAAACCAGTGCAGCAGTTTTAATAAGATACCTGGGCTACTGCGGGGGTCCCAGTCCTGGAGAGAGGAAAGAGGCAAGCGAAGGTAGCAGTGTGACCCGAGAGGCACCCGGGGGCCTCTTGTCTAGGCCCATTGCGGGCCAGAGCTGCACTGACAGGCTGTGTGAGCTGCCAGCTGAGCCGCGGTCAGTCAGGCTAGTGAGTGCTGGACCACGCTGCTTTAAACAAATCGCCCAACCAAAGCAAGGAGCTTGTAAACACCTGTCAAGGGTTTGAGGAACCTTTTTAGGCAGAAATACATCTTGCAAAAAAAAAGAATACCGATTAGCTTGGACTTGGATCTTACCCAAATCCAACAATAAAGCAAACAGCTGAGAAAGTCGATTCCTTGCTTTTCAGTTTACAGTTCATCTGTCAGAGAATCAATTCAAGATGAGTGTTTGACTGTGTGGGGTTAGAGAACAAATCACCATAATGATTTAGAGTTGACGAGCACTTTATAAACTTTAGAGTTAAACAATTATGGATTAAATCAATACAATGGATGCATGAAAGCAGAGGTTGCATAACTGTCTATAACTCAAAGTCAATATAAAACACAGAACTGTACAGGCACACAGACAGCTTTCCAGACACAAGAGCCAATCTGCAGCAGAAACGTTGCTGCTTAGGCTTCAACCCCAGCACCATGTAGGGGCATATAAAAATACTAAACCAAAGGAGTTGATCTAACACTGCCATGCATCACATACTGTAGCACGCGCTGTGACCTAAATATGCAGGGCTCATGCTCTTTGATGTCGAGAGGCAGCCGCCTTCACCCGTATTCAACACGTTATCTAATGCTGGAATCTTCTTGTCCTTGACCTTCTGCCATGCAGTTCTCATTATGAGGCCTCCTGGCAGTACCCCCTCAGTTTCGCGGCAACTTTTGTTTCAGAAAACACCTGGGCTTAGTAGCTGACCCTCGATTTTGCGCTTTCGTCTGCTCTTGGTGGCAGTATTGAGGCTTTTCATCACCCTGATGTCCTGCTCAGTTGTAAGTAATTACAATGATTCACTGTGACAAACAAGCCCTTTAATTGCAATTAAAAAAAACAGATGGTAACTTGGACTGAAGCAAAGCTGCAACTCTAATTAACCTTTAATTACCCTGCCTGGTAGCATTAAAGCCTACGTAAGATGGCCCCAACTGCAGGGTAAGTGTGAAGCCATGAAAGACAGATACTGGGTTGGAGGCAGCTACACAGAAGATTACCTACAACTAAAAGTTGGTTTGGAAAACAGACATACTGGCGACAGGAGAACAAGATGTTAAAACAGGTTAGTCAGAGACACATCGCTGCACTGAACATGCTTGTCAAACATTAAGAACATGTCCCCCAAATTTCAAAGACCTCTTCTGTGTCATTACTCAAAAACTATGGAGCCTTGCCTCTGTGGCAATAAGAGCTAAATGATCCCTCTTGAAAGTTAGCCTGATGTAACCGAATAAGAACTCCAAGGAAAATACAAACACACACAAGGCAGAAGCAGCGAGATGCCCGCCAATGAGCAGTGGTGTGGCTGCACCAGAGGAGCACTCTCCTTCCCTGCAGGCAGGCGAAGAGGTGGGTTTAAGAGCTCAGGAGTTTAATTAGAAAAGCTTCATCAGCCTCCACTGACCTACTTGTTCTCCAGGGGCAGGCTGGCCAGAGCTCAGAGGACTCTACCCAAGATGACCGCGGCTCTCAGGAGCAGCGCCACCAAACCCAACCCCAGCTGCGCTACAGCACGCCCTCGGACTCCTCGCCTCGGCGCTGGTCCAGTCCAGCAACCCAAGCCCCTCTCCAACAAAACAACCCAGAACAGCCTGGAACAAGGCCTGAGGGGCCAGCACTTACCTTAGAGCTCTAACCAGAAGGTGACCGACTTGTGTGAAGTGCACGGGGAGAAAGTGTACTGAAATATCAGATCGCTGACATTAACGGGCAGCTGTTAGACATTGCAAATGTTGTCATCAATGATGCAATTAACTTCATACCAGCTCAGAAATAGTTGAGAGGAAAGTGCAAAATCTCCTAAATCAGTTTGATAAGAAGTTAGCAATGGTAACTCCAAACAGCATAATGCCTGCTTCACTCTCGCCAAACCGTGAAATCATACTGAACAAAGTGATTTATATAAAAGATCAAAGCTATAAAAAAAATACGTAAGAAGTCAGAACTGGGGGACCATATTCCTGCCACAGAGAAGGGGTTTTGCACTTTCACATTTTAGAACATGTGAAAAAACGTGCCCACAGCTGCTCCACAAAGACGGCTTCCCTAAGAGACCATTTAACGTGGTGGAATCTTGGAGGCTGGGAGCTCCACCAATGCACTTTTAGAAACCTGTCCTGAGAGTCATGGGGGGTGGTGGGTGTGTGTGTGCGTGGGTCAGAGAGAATGAGAGCACAGAAAACAAGGGGCAAGAATTCGTGATCTGGGAGGGAATGACAGAGAGGAATTTCTTACAAATGCGGGGGTTATCTGCAGTTCTACAAAGGGGGACTTCAGTGTGCTCAAAGCTTTTCCAGAGGAGAAACAGGCAAGTTTAAACCAGGCAATCAGAGGACCAAGCTAACCTGCTAAAAACACTGCTCAAGGCAAAGGAGAGAGAGATCAATACAAGAAACTTTCAAAATTCCTGGCTTTGCAGAAATAAAAAGCATTTAAAAAGTATAAACAGG